AAGAATCAAGGGGATGCATGAAGGGATGAATGAAATTAATAATTGAAAGAGGGCCAGGGATCCAGGAGAACAATACGATTTCATGGGATACAAGAGGGAAATCAGTTCAAAGGGGGAGCAAGGGAATAATTAAGTGTAAGGTGGGGTACAAGAAAAAAAATCAGCATGAATCAGCACGAAATGTGAGGGGAAAATTGAATATAAGGCATAGAAGAGACTGACAATGGAATTGAGTGCTGGGGGCACAAAATCCTTTGTGGGGAGTGAATGAATGCAGGAGGTTCGGAAGAGAATTGTTGAAGTGGATGCCAGGAATAATACCTGGGTTTGGCAGAGTGCAGGATGATACACAAGAAGGGGGTGTAGTAATGGTGGAAGAGGGCACGGGAGTGCATGTGCATGCCTGAAAGTGGGGTCTGTGGTGAAGTGATGGTAAGCAAGGAGAATAATGACTGCATTGAATGGGTATGGGATCCTTTCCAAGAGTTTCTCGGGAAGGGGCTATGTGTGATTGGGGCTTCTGTGAAGGAGGCAACATGAGCAAGGAGGTCGCAGTGAAGGCTGGTGAAAACCGTGGGAGAAGAAGGGGAGGGAAAGCAATCTGATTCCAGCGGTGAGAAGGATGGAGAAGGAGCATTCAGCCACCTCAGATAGGGTTTTCCAAGGGCAGAGGAAGTACGCTGGGGGTAGGGGATCATGTGGCCATTCTGACCTCCACTCCTGACCCTAGAAGCATGGATCCCAAATAAATACCTGCTGCACCCTGCTGCCCCTCTGACTCTGAATGCACAGCGTGAGACTGGAGCCCCATGGGGGACTCAGCTTGGCCCCAGAAGAGCTATAGGTTGCTGTGACCGCTGCCACGACCATGGTATTACTGCCCAAATCAGCGGCCACAAGCATTTCTGCCTCTTCCAGGCCTGCGAGTGTCACAATTGTGCCCTCTTCTCATGAGTATGGTGTCTGAGATGGGGAGGGCCCAGACCTTCTCTAAATGGGACTAACCTTAGCCCCGCAATCCTTTACTTCAGAGAACACCTCAGGGTCTTGCCTGCTGTGAGTGCCTTGAAGAGGGAGCAGCGGGCACGGCCAAAGAGACACCTGGCTCAAGGACCAATAAGGAGTATGGCTGCCCCTCCCAAAGCTCCCATCCGTGTCAGGAATTTGACCATCAGAGCAGGAGTCCTCAGTGAGTGTTTCTGGCCAGGGAGGGAGCCAGAGTTTGGGTGGAGGAAGCATGAGTAGTTCTGTCACCAGTCCTGTCACAGAATTGCAGTGTGACCTGGGGCAAGTTGCTCCCCGGACCTTAGTTTGCCCAGGTGCAAAATGTCATCAATGTTATCTACCGAGCGTTTGCAGGAAGGAGAGAGCTGGGGGACAAGGGAACTGAAGAGCTCCTTGGTGAGATGAGACCTGAGACTGGATGTGGGGTGAAGTGGGGTGGGGTTGGGGGAAAGACTCATCAAAGCTGTTCCTGGTCTTTCACAGCTGGGAAGGAGAACAACATGCTGCAGCCCGAGACCCACATCTTCACAGCCTCCGAGGAGGTAAGGAGAGTCGGTGACCAGTCGGGCAGGCTCCCACCCAGCCACTGTCCAGACATCTTTCACTGTGTCCCAAGGATATGGGTTTCATCTCCAATCCTATCACCAGCTCACCATGTGACCTTGGGAAAAATCACTTCTCCTCCCTGGGCCTCAATTTCCCCAGTTGCAAAATGAAAGGTAAGACTGGCTGGTCTTCAAGGTCTTCAGAGCTCTGACATTCTAGGCTCCTATCCTCATCCCAAAAGATGTCCACACCTCCTCTCTCCATGGCCGGCCTGGTACCTGACTGCAACCTGTGCTCTCTGCCCCTGCAGGGGAGCTCCCAAGGGGCTCTGCTGCTTGGCCAGGCCCCAGAATCTTTGTCTCTGCCTCGTACTCCAGTGACCTTGGAGCAGCAACTGGTTTCTCCTTCTGGAGATCCCCACAGGCCCCCTGCCCTGCCCAGCATGTGAGTAGAGTGAGGACCATGGAGCAGGTTGTGTCTTGTGTGCCTAACCTTGTGCTTGATGCCATGGGAGATGGAAGGGGAAGAGCGGGAGGAGGAGGAGGAGGAGGAGGAGGAAGTGGAGGGGGGGGAGGAGTAAGAGGAGGAGGAGGAGGAGGAAGAGAAGGAGGAGGAGAAGAAGGAGGAGGACAAGGCAGCATGTAATACTAACGGGCGAGGACAGGGCTCTCCTAGCTTTGCTATTTTCTATTTGTGAGACTTTGGACAAGTGACTTTATGTGTCTGAACCTCCATTTCCCTATGGATATACTGAGGACAATATTCTATACCCATAGCATTGAAAAGAGAACTGGCATAAGGCCTGCCACATAGTAGGGCTTCAACAAATGGGGGTTGTTATTCCACATGAAACAGGTGGATGGGATAGAAGGTCCTGCTGAAAGGTGGGGTCCAAGCTGGTGAGGGTCACAGAGGCCCAGGGCAAAGTCCAGAGGCCATTAGAGAAAGCTTCCTGGAGACGAGCCATGCTTGTCCTTCAAGACCCATGGGGACTGGGCAACATGGAAGTGAGAACCAGTCCCTGAACAGGGACAGTAATCACATCTCTCCAGGTGCTTTGCAAATTAAAACACGGACACCTGTAATTTCCCATGATTTTCACCATTGCCCGGGAAGGAAAGAGCTGGTAGGAATGAGCGTCCCTGTCAGGAAAAAGAGGTATGGAAAAGAAACCTGGCCAAGCAGGAGAAGGGACTTGCCCCAGCCGCAATGACTAATGGTCCAGCAGGCATGGGGATTCACACATCCAGATATTGCAAAATCCTGCCCCTCTTTCTGTCTACTGATAGTATGTGTCCACCAGTGGATTTAATCCCCTGGCCTCTCCTTTCCTTGTTTCTAGATGCTCAACTCTGATCCTCCAGCCCTGTGCCACCCTTGACCCTCTTCTACTGCAGCCACAGGTCCTGGGAAAGTAGTGGGGTCCAGAACCCTGGGAGGGATGGAGTTTAGTGGATGGGAAGAGCAGAAGGCCTTGGTGGGGGTGGGGGAGGAGGTTGAGGGAACACGGGGCTGAAGGGGCACTTGTCGTATTGGGAAGAGGTGTAGTTTCCCAGTGCCTATTCTCTCACGCACTTTCCTTTGCAGGTCCCCAAAGTCTCTGACCAGGCTTTGGTTTCTGCCCACTCAGAGTGGCAGCGGAAACTGGAGGCCGCTGAGGCTCTGCTGACTCTGAGAAACTCTGCCCAAGCCCCTCCTGACTCCATCTCCCTGCACCAGCCTTGCAACCCACCAGGTAGCCTGCTCCCTGAAAGAAGAACACAGGGTGGGAATAGCTGGGGAATGGGGGTCGTTGTGGTAAGCAGGTTCTAGCTGAAAAATCAGAGTCAGTAAGTTGAATCTCCTTGGGGCCAGGCACCCAAGCTCCTCAGTATGACTCCCGAGATGGTAGTTGAGTGCTGTTTACTGAATCTTCGGTTTATCGAGCTTTGTGCGCAACAGCAAGCGTTCAGTGCCCTGATGTCAAGAAAGAAGGAAGTTCAGGCCCTGAGAGTGGCAGGGACTTGCCCTCTCTGATATGCATGCAGCATATCAAGTGGAAGAACCAGCCCTCTTGACTTTCAGCCCAGGGTCTATGCTCAGCCCCCCTGTGGCCTACTGTGGTCTGGGGAGGACATACAGAGGTGATAAAGGGCTTGGTCTGGAAGGCGGTCTGGTCTCTGCCTTCCGAGAGCATCCAGTCTAGAAGTGGAGCCTGGATGCCCTGGCAAGCTGTGTTTTGTGGTCAAATTTTAACGATGTGCCCAGAGAAGAGGGGCTGGAGGAGCTCCGAGGGGGATAAACAACTGGGGAGGCTGGGAGGGAAGGCTAGGCATTCCCAGATCAAAATGGTGAATGGAGCATGGTGTGTCAGTGAAGAAACACCCCTGGAGGGACTGCTGGAACAGAAAGGGATGAGGCTGGAGAGGGTACCAATCACAGAGGTCTGACAGGTCAGGCTTAGGAGGCTGGACCAGCAACTGTGGGTAGTGAGGAGCCAGGGAACGTTTTCTGAGCTAGGGAGAACAATTTCACAGACCCCGAGCTTGACAAAAAGACTTGTGGTGGCTTTGATGGAAGGATTGGGGGAGGCGAGATGGGAGATGGGGAAATCAGAGAGGAAGAGGTCTATGCAACAGGCCAGGTGACAAATCTTTGGTTGGGCGGGACACATAAAACGAGTAGATCTGGAAGGGGATGTGGATGTGACCTGGCTCTGGCCCCTTCCTTTCTGTCCACAGCTCCTGCTGGAGATAAAGGATTCCAGCCTCCCAGCCCCTCTCTCCGCCCCAGGCCAGCCAGCTCCATCTCGCTGCCTATTGGACATCTGGGATGCATCTCCCTCTTGAGCTAGGAACCCAGGGGAGGAGGCCTCAACAGAGCACTGCCTATTTAGTATCCAGTTTCTGAATGTGCAAAATGGTTAACGTCCAAAACGCTTAACATCCTTTTTTTTTTTTTTTTTTTTTTTTTTTAAGCCTTCAGGTGTTTTATAAGCTTTTTATTATATGGGGCAATTCCTTGACTGAAGGTGGATATTCTTGTACCTCTATCCCTCACTCTTTCGGATGCCGGGGCCTTTTTCTGTTTCGTAAAGACAGGATTGTGCAATCTAAGTTGATCAGTCTCTCAGTGGGATTCTGTGTGGGTTCATATGCCAGAGTTTTTATTCGTCTTGTGATTGCTGACATACCTGTGCACTCATGTGCGTACCCATGCTTGTGGAAACATGAAGATGTTTTCACTTTGTGTCTAGGTTTATGTACGTGAACAAATAATAAACCCTTGTTGTTATAAGGCACTGTGATATACGGGTTGTTTGTTACCACAGTATAACCCAGACTATCCCGACTCTAACCGATTTGTTCAATTCATGTTTCCAAGTGAGAATCACCTTATCCGATAACTGAGATTTCCTAACATGGCTAGATAAGAAAATGGTAGAGGAAAAAGAGTAAGGTATTTATTCATTGAGCAATTAAGTACCTACCCTCTGCCTGGCATAGACTGTTTCCAGTTGCCCAGAGGGTCATAAGTGGCAATGTCTGTAGGATCAAGCAGATCATGTAAATGAGTAGAGCAGGCCC